TGGCAGCGCCGGGCGTGCAGCCACAGGGCCACCCAGCCGGGGAAGTGCCGTCGACAGTGGGCACAGCGATGGGCCCTGCGCGGGGCTTCGACGCTCGTCCGGGCCGCCGGAGCTCCCCGATGCCTCAGCCCCCGGGGCTCCTTCTCCGGGGCCTGCAGCGACTCCTGGGAGGGCCCTGAAGGGAGCCGCGGCTGGGTTGGGCCCATGGAGAGCCCCCTGCAGCGCTGTGCCAGCATGGGTCCGGCCTCTGCGGAGGGGAGAAGGGGGAGGCAGTCACACCAGGAGCCAAGGCCCTGCCCCAGTTCTTCCCCTACCACCCCGCCGAGGGCGGCTCGTCCCCCAGAACTCCCAGAACCCTTACACCAACCTAGGCCCTGTCTGAGTGCTGTGTATTATCCCAGCCTTGGGTCTCTAGGTAACATTTCAAGCTCTGCATCTTCTACCCTTAGTGCCTTGGAAACTTGCATTAGGGAGAGAGATTGGCACTTCCTGGCGTCCCTCCCCTCTCCCCAACGCGGATACCCCAGCCCTAGCCGTCGAATTTACCACAAAATGCGGTCACAGGTCTGATAGTGCCAGACATAGTTTCCAAGCTTTCCTGCTGCCTTCTCCTTGTGTCTGCTTCCTACCGCCCCGTGGCAGCCTGTGAGGCTGGCGGATCAGACACTGAGCTCCCCTCCCCGTGTGAGAGAAAGCAATCTTTTTCTGTCAAACTAAAATGTCTCCATCTTGTAACAAGTCACCAGGCTGTACTGATAGTTCCTGGAATTATTTGTCTCTTGACTTCCACTGTAACTATCATCTGTGTTATTTGTAATCAGCCAGCCGTGTCAAGGGTATGAGTCCTTAACCAATGGAGTGGAGTTAAATAGGACCCCCCTCCCCCAGTGGGAACTTTTCCATTGCCTTTACCAACCTTTTCCAGCTGCATGGGTCAGGGGCCTGTCCAGCCAGCCATGACCTCCAATAAGGTTACATGATAGCCCCTCCCCCCCAACCAGGGGCCTTTCACTGACAAGAGTATTTTCTAACTTCCTGTATTACCCCATCACACTGGTAACCAACTGTGAATAGAATGGGAGTCTGAGTCTTTGACCGGGAGGGGCAGCTTGGGTTCAGATAAAAACTGAGCAGACCACCCTACCTGGTCTGTCTGCCCAACTCTGGGGAGAGTGGCTACACACCCTTCCTTTGGGAAATAAACTGCCTTGAGGAGATCTATCTCCTTTCTCTCAATGTGTCTATTTTTTCCCCTGACACTGGAGGGTCAGGTGTTTTCCAACACCTGCTGGATGAAGCAAATCAAGGAATCAAAAGCTAACGAGACTCGCCACACAGTAACCCTACCAGCACAACCAAGAAGGCCTGTCCTGGAGGTCCGTGTTCTTTCCTTTAGAATACCCGGTTGTGCAAACATCTTCCCAAAGAAATGGCCCAAGACATTGCGCCACGCCACAGCAGAGGCACGGGGCGCGGGCACTTTCGGGGCAGCAGCTGCAGGGCAGGGAGAAGAACCTTTCTCCAGGACAGAGCTGGGGAAGCAGACGTCTGTCCCAGCAAAGCCGACTGCCAGGCCACTGCCTGTCCAGACTGCCCACATTCTGCCACCTGCCCTCTCCATCCCCGCAAGATTAGGGAACTCTATCCAAGGAACACCCACAGCTGGCGGCTCTTGGGGCCTTGATCCTTGGCTCTGCCTCCCTGGGCGCGAGGGATTGTGGAGGCGAGAAGGGGAGGGGGGGGACGAAGAAAAGATTATAATCTCTGTCCCCCGGTCGTGCCCCAGCCGGGCCAGGGGCTGTCTCGAGTTTAGTTGTTCCACAACTCAAGGGAGTCCAGACTTCTGGAATCCTCCTGCACAGAACGAGGGCAGGGTCAGTCCTCAGGGGTTCCCTGCGCCTACCCTACGCTCCCCAAGGACAGACACAGCCTGCTCTGGTGCACACTGGACAGAGTGGGTGGGGGACCCCAGGCTGTGTAAGGGGATCCTTCCCTCCTGGGGCAGGGAGGCCTGGGCGCTGGGCGCTCTGGGTACTTTGGGAACGCAACAAAGGGCAGACTCTACCCTGGAGACTGCAGAGCTGAGGATGAGGCTTTTTCAAGCTCCTCCTGGGGATACTCGGGCCGCTGCAGCAGCAGCAGCGCCTGCTCCGAGAGCCTCTTGATGTCTGAGAAAACTGTAGCAATAAAGCCGCCCCTACCCCGTGGCAGAGGCCAGCCGTACCTGTGGGGAGGGGGCAGAGGGCACGTGAGAGGCCGGGCATCGTGGTGTCCAGGCTAGCCCAGCCTCGTGCTCCCCGCCAAAGCCACAGGCTTCACCCCCCCCCC